TTTTTTTTTTTTTTTTACCAATTATATAATTATATAATTATATAATTATATATACAGTATACAATATATTCATCATTCGGTATTATACTTTTCGTTATTATGACCCACCGGAAAATATTGACGTTTAAATATGTAAGATTGCGTACTTTAATTTTATTATTTAAAATTCCCTATAAGAGAACAAAGTTGGGCTATATAGCCTCTATTGGTTTCTTGAAAAGGTGAAGAAAACGATGCAATCAATGCATTCGTTGCGTTTTTTGTGTCACAAATGTGATTTGTTAACGCCACGAGTCACGTTCTAAATCCACGTTTGACTCTTTTTTTTTTTATTTTTAAACAAATATATTTTACGAACGTGTTTTGCATGTTGACTGAATTTGACAGATTTAATAATAGTATGTACATTATATGCAAACATATTATATGCAATATATATTTAAATTTGAAACGATCTTATTAAACAATTTTTTTTTAAAAAAAAATAAATAAAAATATTCATAATTTTATACATAAATACATACATAATAATTGTGGTGCAGGCTACTTGCTTGGATGTAAAATTAATGATTTTAATTACGTTATGTTGTATTCAAGCCTTTTTTGTATGTCAATTTAAAAAAATATTATTTTCCTGATCTTAAATTTATTTTCGGCCAAAATTAAAAAAAAATCTTCGTCTGAAATAAAGTTATAACTTGTACGACAGACATGACAAACTGATTGGCAATTTGGCGTGGGAGAATTTCGGAGTTTATACTCCTGTAATAATATAAAAATTCCGTTATCTCATTATTTTCTCTTTTTGCAATTTCAAAGTTAATATATTTTTCTTTGAGGAAATTTATATAATTTATTATGGCCACTATTAGACGAGAATTTGTTAATGATGCAATTCAAAGAGCTGATGCATTAACAGATCCTTACATTCGCAATTATGACGTAACAAAACGTTTTGAATTTGTAAAACAAACAATTCTTGATGATGAATCTCTTACAAAAAATGAAAAATGGGAAGCAATAAAAATAATAACAAATGATTATGATTATATTAAAGTTAAAACTAATGAAGGAACAAAAAGACTATGTGAAAATTGTGCTTTAGAGTGTTTAGCTACATTATATTGTGAACATTGTGTTCGAACCTATTTAAAAAATAATTTTTCAAACTGGACGTCTGGAAATAGTAATATTGATAATTTAATACAAGAATGTCAAATGGAAACATTTAGCCCAGATCGTGTAATTGAATGGATACCATATAATAATTTACAAGATATTAAATATATAACTAAAGGTGGATGTTCTGAGATTTATTCAGCAATTTGGATTGATGGACGTTATATTGAATGGAATTCTAAGGAGCAACAATTAAAAAGATCATCAGGAACTTTTAAAGTAATACTTAAAAAATTGGAAAATGTTGAAAATGCTAATAGAAGTTGGTTTGATGAGGTAATAATTTAAATATAATTTTAATTTTATAAATTTTAAAATATGTAACAAATATTGTTTTTAAAAATATTTGTAGGCAAAATCACATTTAACATTAAGTAATAAACAAGCTATCTTTACCAAATGTTATGGTTTAACTCAAGATTCAATAAACGGAGATTATATGCTTGTAATGCGTTTAATGGATACAGATTTAAGAAAATATATGCAGCAACAACATACATGGAAAGAAAAAATAAATATAGTTGATAAGATTATTTTTGCACTTTATAACATTCATTTTTATGGAGCGGTACATCGAGATTTACATTCTGGAAATATTTTACATTCGAAGTCTAATGATTCTTGGTATATAAGTGATTTTGGATTTTGTGGACCCGCAGATAAACCATTAAAAAGTATATATGGAAATCTTCCTTATATAGCACCTGAAGTTATAATTGGAAAAGAATATACTTTCGCATCTGATATTTATAGTTTAGGTATACTTATGTGGGAAATTTCATCAGGACAAACACCCTTTAATAATTATGAACATGATTATGATCTTGCAATGAAAATTGTTAATGGTATGAGACCAAAAATTAGAACAGAAATTCCATCAAAATATAAAGAACTAATGAAACAATGTTGGGATGCCGACCCATTAAAAAGACCTAATGCAGATACTCTTTGTGATGAAATTGAAAAAATGATGAAAGATATTTACAGTAATGATAATGCAAATGAATTTAATACTTTAGAATATAATAATTCATCTCAAATTTCTAGTTCAAGTTCGAATTTAAGTTCAAGTTCCAAGCTACTATATTCATTATCAACTAGTAAACTGCATCAATTTGAAAATCTACCAGAACCAAGAAATGCAACTGAAGGTAAGATATTAATATAAAAAAGCCTTTTTATTATTTTTAAATAAATAATTATTCAAAAATCACTATGTTATTATTTTTATATTAATATCAACAGAAGAACAAGAAGGTAAATAATAATTATGATTTGTATTTTTATGTCTCCTCACATAGTATGGTAGTAACTTTAAATAATTTCTTTATAGCATTTCATAGCCAACCTTACGATTTCGAGATACCTAATAATAGTAAGTATATGATATTTAAAATAACATTATATTATTTATATTAATAATGGATATGCTTAATAATTATTATCTTTTATTATATTAGTTGAAGATCTCAATTCGTCTAAAGAACAAGAGGAACTTATTAAGGATCTAAATAGATTAGAATTAGATAAGTAAATTCTTAATTTATGACAACATTCACGTGAATATGGTTTTTTGTGATGCTTCCCTAGCAACATTATTAAGGTTATACAACGGATGAGTAGTACTAGTATGTTATAGAACCATTAAATATCATGTTTAAAATCGTTAGTTTTATTATTTTGTGTATTATTTTTTGAGAATTTTATTTGTTAAGTTCATCAATATCGTGACGCCATTGAGAAATAGAGATTGATGGAGAAATCTTCTACTTCTTGAATTCATACGGATTTAATATTTGTGAGGTTATTTTATAGATAATTCAGTTAATTGGTCGAGATTTTAAGCAATGTTTTATATTTTTTTTTATATTTTTTTGCGTGTAATAACTTATTTTTTTTATTTTTATTTATTTAAATAAATTTATTTATATATATTATACTTAACAAATCATTCTTTTTATAACGTGATAATACATTAACTTATTAAGCTTTTTTCATCATTATAGATTTATTAAATCCTAAATTATGAAATATGCAATCAATAGCGAATAAAAACTGCCATAACGTTATATAACCGTGCGCTATTAGTATACTATGATCAAGGAATAGATGCAATACGTGATCAAGATTTGTTGAAATTACTAGAACCCCTAAATAAAAAGGTCAAAGCGTGATCCGATACTATTGCAAAAAATAATGATTGTACTAGTAGTAAAAATGATTTGTTTGATTAATTTATAAGATGAGTTTAATACCTTTCATTATTAATAAAAATCATTCCTGTAAGATACTGTATATAACTGCTTGTTTTATAATAAATTGACATCGGGTTTTCTTTAATGTTTGATTTTCTACTATAAAACATGATATATAGAATTATATCTTTAAATTTTGAAAATCGTTATCATATTTTATATCATAATTAAATACAGTAAAAACTATTTTATTACAATTAATTTGATTCATTTTACTATGAATCATCACATTTACGTGAATTTCATTTTACTATGAATCATCACATTTACGTGAATTATTTTATAACGCGTCATGATTCATGAACATTAAATTACAAAAATCAAAATTACTGTCAATACGTTTTGATAATTATTAGTTACTATTAAAACAGCTTATCGCTTATAAACAAACGTCAATTATAATCAAAAAGGCAAAGCCGCAAAGGTTGATTCATAGTTTTTATTAAATATCTGAGATTTTTCTTTAAAAAATTTACTATTTACAGTTCAAATCCGAAATTTAGAGATTTACGTTATAAATTTAATTATATAAATTTGAATATAATGAAAATAAATTACCTAACCATAAAAAAATTTTTGGTTGTCCTATTCGTGCAGTTAATTATGTATGATTTTTACTTACCAGTTATATAAATAGTTTAAATTAATTAAACTTTTTAATCTGTTATCCAATTCACTTTTGGCAAATATTCCATCTACATTTTTTTTTTACCAATTATATAATTATATAGTATACAATATATTCATCAATCGGTATTTTACTTTTCGTTATTATGACCCACCGGAAAATATTGACGTTTAAATATGTAAGATTGTGTACTTTAATTTCATTATTTAAAATTCCCTATAAGAGAACAAAGTTGGGCTCTATTGGTTTCTTGAAAAGGTGAAGAAAACGATGCAATTCGTTGCGTTTTTTATGTTACAAATGTGATTTGTTAACGCCACGAGTCACGTTCTAAATCCACGTTGTCTCTTTTTTTTATTTTTAAACAAATATATTTTACGAACGTGTTTTGCATGTTGACTGAATTTGACAGATTTAATAGCATGTACAGTACATTATATGCAAACATTTAAATTTGAACCGATCTTATTAAACAATTTTTTAAAAAAATAAATAAAAATATTCATAATTTTATACATAGTAGTACATAAATAATAATAATTGTGGTGCAGGCTACTTGCTTGGATGTAAAATTAATAATTTTAATTACGTTATATTATATTCAAGCCTTTTTTGTATGTCAATTTTATAAAAAATACTATTTTCCTGATCCTAAATTTATTTTCGGTCAAAATTAAAAAAAAAAATCTTCGCCTGAAATAAGTTATAACTTGTACGACAGACATGACAAACTGATTGGCAATTGGTGTGGGAGAATCTCGGAGTTTATACTCCTATCCCTTAAATGATAGCTATTGTTCTAAATTCCGCGGAATTTTCAGGATTTCTGCAGAGGATTCCATGGAATTTCATTGTATTACAGTTTAGATCGGCACATGAGTAGTGGTAAATCGCAGCCAAATTTAGCTGCAAAACACTTTAAGGGTTAATAATATAAAAATTCCGTTATCTTATTATTTTTTCTCTTTGCAATTTCAAAGTTAATATATATTTTTCTTTGCAAATTTATATAATTTATTATGGCTAATACTAATATTAGTAGAAATGATGAACTTGTTTATGCTGCAATTCAAAGAGCTGAAGCATTAACAGATTCTTACATTCACAATGACGTAACAAAACAATATGAATTTATAAAACAAACAATTCTTGACGATGAATCTCTTACAAAGGATGAAAAATGGGAAGCAATAAAAATAATAACAGAAGACTATGATTATTTTAAAGTTTTATATAATGAAGGAACAAAAAGACTATGTGAAAATTGTGCTTTAGAGTGTTTGGCTACACTATATTGTGAACATTGTGTTCGAACCTATTTAAAAAATAATTTTTCAAACTGGACATCTGGAAATAACAATGTTGATTATTTAATACAAGAATGTCAAATAGATACATTTCGCCCAGATAAAATAATTGAATGGATACCATACAATAATTTACGAAATATTAAATATATAACTAAAGGTGGATGTTCTGAGATTTATTCAGCAAATTGGATTGATGGATATTATATTGAATGGAATTCTAAGGAACAACAATTAAAAAGATCAAAAACTTTTAAAGTAATACTTAAAAAATTAGAAAATGTTGAAAATGCTAATAGAAGTTGGTTTGATGAAGTAATAATTTAAATATAATTTTAATTTTATAAATTTTAAAAATATGTAACAAATATTGTTTTTAAAAATTTTTTAGGCAAAATCACATTTAACATTAGGTAATAAATATAATCGCCTTGCCAGATGTTATGGTTTAACTCAAGATTCAACAAATGGGGATTATATGCTTGTAATGCATTTAATGGATACAGATTTAAGAAAATATATGCAGCATCAACATACATGGAAAGGAAAAATAAATATAGTTTTTGGGATTATTAGAGCACTATATAGCATTCATTTTTATGGAGCGGTACATCGAGATTTACATTCCGGAAATATTTTATATTCACAATATAAGGATTGTTGGTATATAAGTGATTTTGGATTTTGTGGGCCCGCTGATAAACCATCAAAAAGTATATATGGAAATCTTCCTTATATAGCACCTGATGTTATAATTGGAAAAGAATATACTTTCGCATCTGATATTTATAGTTTTGGTATACTTATGTGGGAAATTTCATCAGGGCAAACCCCCTTTAATAATTACGAACATGATTATGATCTTGCAATGAGAATAGTTAATGGTATGAGACCAAAAATTAGAACAGAAATTCCATCAAAATATAAAGAACTAATGAAACAATGTTGGGATGCTGACCCATTAAAAAGACCTGATGCAGGTACTATTGTTAAAGAAATTCGAAAAATGACAAAAGATTCTTACAATAATGATAATGCAAATGAATTTAATACTTTAGAATATAATAATTCATCTCAAATTTCAAGTTCAAGTTCGAATTTAAGTTCAAGTTCCAAGCTACATTCATTATCAACTAGTAAACTTCATCAATTTGAAAATTTACCAGAACCAAGAAATGCAACTGAAGGTAAGATATTAATATAAAAAAGCCTTTTTATTATTTTTAAATAAATAATTATTCAAAAATCACTATGTTATTATTTTTATATTAATATCAACAGAAGAACAAGAAGGTAAATAATAATTATGATTTGTATTTTTATGTCTCCTCATATAGTATGGTAGTAACTTTTAAATAATTTCTTTATAGCATTTCATAGCAAACCTTACGATTTCGAGATACCTAATAATAGTAAGTATATATTCAAAATAATATTATATTATTTATATTAATAATGGATATGCTTAATAAATATTATCTTTTATTATAGATCTTAATTCGCCTAAAGACCAAGAGGAACTTATTAAGGATTTTAAATAGATTAGAATTAGATAAGTAAATTCTTATAATTTAATTTATGACAACATTCACGTGAATATGGTTTTTTGTGATGCTTCCCTAGCTAACATTATTAAGGTTATACAACGGATGAGTAGTACTAGTGTGTTATAGAACCATTAAATTTAAAATCGTTAGTTTTATTATTTTAAGTATTATTTTCTTAAGAAAACTCAAATCAAATATCGTGACGCCATTGAGAAATAGAGATTGTCCTCCATTAAATACATTAAATGGAGAAATCTTCTACTTCTTGAATTCATACGGATTTAATATTTGTGTGGTTATTTTATAGATAATTCAGCTAATTGGTTAAGATTTTAAAGCAATGTTTTATATTTTTTTTTCTTATTTTTTTATTTTTATTTATTTAAATAAGTTTATTTATATATTATACTTAAAAAATCATGCTTTTTATAACGTGATAATACATTAACTTATTAAGTTTTTTCATCATTATAGATTTATTAAATCCTAAATTATGAAATATGCAATCAATAGGAATAAAAACTGCCATAACGTTATATAACCGTGCGCTATTAGTATGATCAAGGAATAGATGCAATACGTGATCAAGATTTGTTAGAATTACTAGAACTCCTAAATAAAAAAGTCCAAAGCGTGATCCGATACTATTGCAAAAAATAATGATTGAACTAGTTGTAAAAATGATTTGTTTGATAAATTTTTAAGATGAGTTTTAATGTCTTTCATTATTAATAAAAATCATGCCTATAAGATATATGACAGTTTGTTTTATAATGAATTGACATCGGGTTTTCTTT